GAAGTAGTCCAGTTATTTAAGCTTAAATTAGGTAAGAATCTCGGAATTCGATATCCCCAGCTGTAGGTCTGTAAATACTTGTATATTCACACCTAAAAATTGTCTCAAAACCTACATATGGTAGGGTGTACGCAACATATGTAGGTTTTGAGACAACTTTTAGGTGTTAATTTATATGTATTACAGACTTACAGCTGGGTATCTCGAATTCCGAGATGAACTTACTATAATGACTGGACTAGAGCCCGTGATAAGTTGTTTTGATGGGGTCCTACTAGCAAAAATCGTCAAGTGAACTTGGTTTAATTTTAAGAAACTTGGAGATTTTTCAGGAGTATTCAACTACATGTTGTATGTACCCTACTACTAACCATAGGTCTCCTCTTCTTGGGGGACGTCCATTAATCACGTGAGGTTTTTAGGAGGAGGGGAGGTATTGTAAAATATCACGTGTATTTATTCTTTAACTGTTATTTTTTAAATTGGAACATTTTTTAAAAAAAATTTAAAACAATAATTTTATAGTTTTATCACCTAACTAAAAATACACTTGATGTTTGGTGGGAGAGGGGGGGTAATGTTGAATATCACCATGTATCACCAAGGGGGAAGGAGGGTCTAAAGATCCTTAAAAGCTCGCTCACGTGATTAATGGACGCCCCCTTGATTGATTGAATTGATCTCAATCGCAACTAAGAAAAATATTCGATCTCGATCAAAATCGATATTTAAGAATTCGGTGTAAAATAAATTGGCGCAAATTTGTATGAAGTGAAAATTATTTGTGAGCTCGCAGCAGGCAACTTATTTTTTACAATATTGAGGAAGATATACGTTATGACTTCTAGGACACGTTCATACCAAGATTAGCCTCTAACTAAATTTTTTTATCTTCGTTACGTTTTAAATTAGACAAGATTTTTGAGTAAATCTTTGTTTTTCAAATTATATGTAATTTAGTATAGAATTATGTATTATTTACCCTTTCCACTCGCGAATTGCGAGATTTATATGTATTTTGCCGCTGGAGCCGTGGCATCCGAGTGAAAAGGGTTAATATTAGATTTTATATATAAACTATAAATTTTGGGGACAGAGTCCTTATGGATCGGGGGCCCTTGGCATTTTGCCAGTCCTGCTAACCTATTGTAAGCCACATCAATTATAATTTACTATTAACCATTTTTGTATTGATATGAATTATTTAGTCAGCAATTTATTCTTTGTTTTCAAGCTGAATCAGGTGCAATATTCAATGCCGAATATTTTACAAATATTCTTAAATTTGTTCTATTGATTATATCATGCTTGACAAAATTTTAGCATAGTTTCTCGAGGGTATTTTGTTACATAACTAAAGTTGTAAGTGTTAAATATTAAATTCATTCAATAAAACATAATGCTTCAAACTGTGTAATAATTTTCAGGAATTTGCAAATAAAATTGCTGGTATCATACAAAAAGACTCTTATAAATTATAATATCACGTCGAAAGCATATAATCAACAGAATAATATCAATTTTTTTAAACAAATTCTTACCTCCGTATTCAGCGGTCCGGTTTTCTCACCAAAAACTGCGACTGCCACATCAGTCGCCTTGTCGTTGTCCAAATACAGCTCCAACTTGCAAGATTGGTTGCACGGGTTTCAGGTAAAAACGAATTTGTTTAAAAAATTTGGCAAAATTTAAGCACTCACGATTATTTGGCACATTATTACAAACACTGTTACACTATAAAAAATTCACCACAAAAAGTACACTTATAAAATCACTACGTTAAAGCTTAAAGGACAACCTTAGAAAACGTTTTAAAAATCGGTAAAAAACTGGGCACACGTGTTTTACATAACTACCAGTAGACGTCAATGTCAGTATAATTCAATTTTGTTTTACTGTTTTTTTTAAATAATTTATTTAATTATAAGTAACTCGTTTAGTTTGTAATTTATCAAATAATACTAATAATAAACATTATTCTATATTTCGTGCAGGTACAAATATGTGCTGCTGAAGTACTGGTAGCTATATAGCTTATTGATTTATACTGCTCTTATATTGCCGGGGAGTAACGTGTATATCTCATGTTACTATATGTCAAAAAATAATCACAATTGCATCGAACAACACACCAAACGCATAATAAACAGTCACAAAGCACTTTTGATATTAAAAATATTTGAAACGTCACTGTAAGTTGGACACTTTACACGCAAAGAAAGCTTCTGGTAATCAAAGCGGTCTACTTTAACCTACTAAACGAAGATTTAAATATTTCATTAATTAAATTATTTTATTTCCTATTAAACTATTACAAATGATAAATGTGTTCCATACCAATGTGGGTTGTAAAGCGTCCACTAGCCTAACTACGGAAGAAGAACATGGCGAAATTGTTCACACCGAATCTAATATCGTGCGCGCGCAAATCCCATAGAAAAAGAGGGATAGATACATATAATATTTGAACATTGAAGCCTAGATTTGCAGAGGCGGTTTTATTACCGCAGATTAAACCAAGGGTAACAAAATTTGTAGTGATGCATTTCAAGATACAGAGGGGATATCATACATATGCATTTCCGAATTATTTTGATGATGTCATGGTCAAAACCTATTTTTACCATATTCTTTGTTATCGATTTTTTATTAAATATAATTTTTTACGTGCCCACTTCTTATAATTTTATATTTTATAATTATGTCGATAATTTGTAAATTGTCATCGATAATTTGTCAATTTTCTCATACTACTCTTTATATTTTTGAACTACCCTGTCATTTATCTTGTCATTATTATAACGACCCTGAAACCAAATCAATGGATTGGCATTCGATTTAGACATTTTTTAAATGCGATCAAAAATTAGCTTATTTTCAGGATGCAATAGTTGCAAACAAATAAAAAAAATAACTACAACAAACCATTTAATGTTTAATAATAGTTGTACTGTTGTACAAACGATCCTAGTAAAAAATAACCACCATTGTCAATCTAATTGTAATTAAAAATGTTATTAAAAATAATTTACCCCAAAAATTGGAATATTTATAATTACTTATCATTATCGAATAGTAATTATAAAGCAGTTTATTTATAAGTTGATTAATTATTAACTTCCCAATGAAGAAGTTTGTTATTGTCAAAAAAATCTGAGATTAAAAATGGTTTAGTTATAAAAATTACCATTGAAACTTGGGAAAATGAGCAGCGACTTCAGGACAAGCCAAGTGCCTATGAAGTCAAACTTTTATAATTGAAATTCTCTCTTGAAATGATTTGTTTCAAAACTATTTTATAAGACTTCATAAAAATCTATCTATTTCAAAGTAACCTAAAAAGTACAATTATTTTTACATTATCCATTAATTGAGGAATTTGCTAATCTTGATTAGTCATAAACAAGTTTTTGATAAAAAAAATCTTATAGGTACTTGAGTTTATAAAATATTGTATATAACTATAATATAATTATAAGAAATGAAGTGAGAATGTATCTATTGGGTATTTTTCATTAGGCACTACGACGAAGCAAAGCATTGAAAAATTGTGGATTAACTTTTATTTTGGCACAGTCCAAATGTTCTGTAAATTTTTGTAGATACTATGTGATCAATAACAAATTTCATTTCGAATATCAAGGACTATATATGTTTCAGAACACATTGATATATTTGGTTTCCTAAATTACTACACAATTAATATAGCAGTAATTTAGTTTTATAGATATCCGTAAACTTCAAAAATATGTATTAGTCTAACTTCTAGCTGCCGGTTTCAATTGTCTCAAATATCGATTTTTTTACAAATATTATTGTAATGTTATTTATCTGAATGTTATTAATCTCAAGCAAATATAATGATTTATTCTGCAAAATTCATATGAATAATGTGAATATAATGTTAGCTATACGATTGAATGAAATATTAAATGAAGTAATAGTGAAAATGCGGTCCTGAATATTATTATGGTGATATACCTATATCGAATTAGTGTCGAACTACGAAGTATGGTGATGATTATGTAATATATTGAGGAAGTCTAATGTTAACTTTATAACCTTGGGTCATCTAAAATGACCGCCCTCTGGTAGGCATACATTTGTCACAAAACAATTAAAACGAATTATTTCCAAGTAGTTATTTGTTGACAGTTAATGCATACCTTGTATAGATTTATAAATATTTTAACATTTTAAATAAAAAAAATATTATAAAGGAATCGAACTTGAGAAAGATTGAAGAGATATTTCAAGATATGTTAATTATAAGGCTTTCTAATGTATAATGAAATAGACATTATATGTAGGTATATGTAAAATATGAAAATTGTTTCATAAACTCTTATACCAGACTCCCCTGTCTGAGATATAAAAGTAATATATCAATAGAAAAAAACATACGTATGCAATTATTTTCTCAATTAATGATAATATTGCCATTTTACGAATACGGTGAATATACGAGTTATATCTTCTGGCACCTTCCAATAAAGGTCCGAGTCTTCAAGTAAAACTTCATTTGTTAAATTTTTTTAAATTTGAATTTAAATTGACATTAAAAGGAAACTCATGTATGCACCTGAACATCAGGTGTGTGATTAAATTTATAACTATCATATAAGGAAAACGCATATGAAGCATCTCGTAACGATATTAACCCTTTTCACTCGGATCGAATAAATCTCGGAATTCGCTAGTGGAAATGGGTAAAACAAGTAAATGGATGAAAACAAAATTTTATAACAATAAGCATATATTTGTCGAATACATGTAACAAATTTAATGTAACAATTAATAACGTCAAATATCGAAACATTACATAAAGTTTAATGTTATGCACTAATATAATACTTAGTGAACAATAAATAATTTAATTTAAAAATGTTAAACAACAATAAATTCATACGGTTTAGAAACACGATTGCTATAATTACATTTCATTAAGCTAACTATTATTACGCATAAAATATCAATTCTATCAACCATTTGATGTTACTTATTTTTTTACTTCATTTAGTATTTAATTAAGATTTAGTTAGGGTTTTTTGCATTGTAATTCTTGTTGTATATTTATTCTATCACCGTGCATCAGTGCTTCTAAAACCCTGAGACCTTCCGGACCACTTGCTATCAGAAAATGGCGAGATGAAGTGGAATCTTTATTTATTGGTAAAACAACCGTAGATAATCTTGTTGCGGGAATATTGAAAGTGTATAGATGAATGAATCCTTCAATGCCTCGATAATCGTAAATCTGGCAGAATTGACAGGTTATTTATATGTGAAATATGAAACTCTCGAGAGAAAATGTATTAGATAATATAGTTTTTTCGACTAACAATAAGATATAGGGACCGATTCTGCCGCATAACAGAAAAATGTTATGGCAAGGCTATGTTACGGCCCAAGTTTGGTATATTATGCTACTGAATCATACTGAATACTATCAAAATCTCATGTATTTGCTGTGCATTCAGGCGTTTTACATATGAACTGCAACGTCATTCGTATGTTATGAAGCTGGTTCAGAAACACACTGTTTTCTAAGGTCATTTTTTTGACATTTGTGCGGTTTCTAGGCCATCTGTGCGATACTTCAATGGTGAATCAGGTTTTCTATCTGACAACTTGAGAAATACACCTGACTGCACACCAACCACATGGCTTTTGTCAATATTTAGTATGGAAACTTCTTCATAACATGGCCTTACCATAACATTTTTCTGTTTATGCGGCGGAATCGGTCCCATAAATTAATTCAATAATAATGCCGATAACTAAACAAAACTTCTAAACAAGAATTTAAACAGACGCTTCTCAAGTCAAAATCAATCAAATTCTGTTATATATTCCCTCATAAAAGAGAAAAAATGGATCTGATATTTCTAAACATTTACTTATTTCAAGAAGCTTATTCAATAAAGTTCGAGGAGTTTTTCAAATAAATTAATACAACTCTCAACTTCTATTCATGATAATTTTCAATTGTTGATTCAGTATTTAAAAAATAGTGATCAAATAATTGGTTATAACAATTAACTATAAAAAAATCGATCCCAACCAACTCAGAATTTGCATCACCTTATTCATTATCTACCTTCTAAACGCATTTTTTAAAATAAGTTTGAAAGTTTATAAAATTATCCATAATCTTTTATCTGAAATTTATATGCAGCGACAAAACAGTATATAACCAATAAAAAGTTAATTGTTCAATTTTTACGAATGGCGAGAATATTTCATTCTCGTTAAAACGTTGATCGTAATACTGATTGATTTATTGAGCTATTAAATTAATCATTACCTTTATGTGACTTCGATCCTCAATAAAAGCCAAAATTGTTTGTCCTTGTCCGAAGTGAATTGATACTAAACTTGAAGGTCGCAGGCAAGGCAACGTCTGGAACAATCTTCCTTCCATGACATCATCATATATCTGAAAATAATAAATAAAACAATATTTTATATTGGTTGGAATAAAAGCAGCACTTTAATTATAAGTTTTCTTCTTAAACGGCAGAAGAAAGTGATTTATTTGAAACTATATTTTAATAATTATAAATTATTATTTACCTTTATAAAATCATAGTTCCCACCAACAGTAGCATTTTCTAGGACCGACACGGCCACCATCTGCCTCAATGATGACCCTAACCCTACAGTCAAAACTTCAACTTCACCATTTCCCCGTTTTGGTAAATAAGGACATTCCGTTGTAGAAATTTCATAAGTTGCCAAAGATCTTCCTATCACAGGCTCTGAACCAAAAATATTACGAGTTAATTGATCCAGATTGTTATTCGTTTTTGATAATTTTGTTACTCGTTTTCCGTCGCTTAAAGACAAATCGAAGCCAGCTTCTCGAGGCACAAATGTTGATTCATCTGGAAAATTTATTTTTAAAAGATAAAGCAATGAACTTATGTACATAAAAATAGAAATTCTTGTTCATATATAAATTCAGTTTATGACTAACAGTTTTTTTTTCTATGAGTAAATTTTTAGAAAAACTGTGAACATTTTCCAAAACGTATTACCTGTGTACATTTTCCAACTTCCTGACATCTGAAGATCACTATTGAAGCTTCCTAGAACATATTCTTTAACACCAAATTCGTCAACTGTGTAGAATGTTCCATCAGAACCATCCAGTATCTCTCTAATTCCAGGACCAAGTTTAAACACATGCTTCAATCCAATATTTTCAATATACCACACATTTGTCCCACTCGGTATGTCACAACCTAAATCATATGCTGATCTTGATACTATAAATTTACTTCCATTACGACCGTCTACATTGATCCAATCCTCCACTGTTCCAGTTTCCAAAAAATAAGCATGAGTAAATAATTTTTGATCAGAATTCCATTTATAAATAGTGCTTTTACAGCTGCCTTGGTTTGTGATCAGAGAATATCCATTGCCATCTTTAAAAACATGCATTGATATTATGTTGTCTTGTATACACTGAGTTTCTTCAAAGTATTTTAGGAGATATAGGTATTTGTTAGATAGATTTAGGAGATACCGCACGTCCAAACAAAAGCTTGTATATTCATCTCTCAACTCTTTTTCACGTATGTCAAGTAAAAATTTCTGTTTAGCCACTTCATCAGCTAAATTATGCATATCTCGATTATTCAGCATATTATTCCCTAATATATTGTGTTGAAAATCAGCTGTGTCTATATACCAGTGACCAGTTATTGTCTGAAAATAAAACAAGTTAAATTTCATAAACTACATTAAAATTATACATAAAAATCAAAAATATTCAACTGATATATTTTGTAATAATTTAGTAACATTATTTAGTTCAATCGTATATTTTATATTTTGTTTTTATTATTATTAGTAATATTATTCTATTCAACGACTGGGTGTGTTCGGACGTATTTTGGTTTTATTATATTGGCCATAAAGGTAACAATCTTCATGGCATTAGGCTTTACACGGGATGGTTGCTACTCCTGGTAGAGGGGGTACCGAATAGTTTCGATAGGACTAATTGTTCAGATCTAAAAGTGAAGCCCGCAAAACAACATGTATAATAAATAATAAATAAATATATCTTCTTTCATTATAACTTATAGACAAATCAGTGAATGTAACAAGAACGGTAACAAATACATAATATACAAACGAATACATACATACATAATACACAATACAGGGTGTAAAATAAAATTTAGATTAAAATTATATTTAATTATAAATTATTACCTGATCGTTACCAGTTCTTCTTAAGGCATTTGCAGTCCATTCGTTGAAATCGACTCCTGAAACGGTGCCATTAATGTCTAAAATCGGAACCAAAACGGTTTCAAATACGTGACCGGGCGTGTAAATAATTTGATCAGAATCTAGAGTAATGACATTTTGCAAGTTATATTTGGAATTGATTTGTGCTGAAATTTCTAAACTGTCGCGAACATGTACATATTCGAAGGATGTGACAGCTTCTATTACTTGCTCATAATCACTCGTCACCTAGAATATAATTTTCAATAAATATTATAATCATCAATATATAAAATGAGGACCAAAAATAGTAGATATGATGCTTTAGAAAAATTAAAATGAACAAAAAAAATTAATCAAATCGTTATTTATAACGAAAATTGAAGTAATTATTACATCTTACATACAGCTAAATAATAGTGATATCCTACCTTTAGTGTATTGGATACTTCATCTAATAGATTTATTCTATTCAAGGAACCTTCTATTTCGCAATTTTCTTGAATGAGTACGTTATCAAAATTAACATGGTAAGGAATAATTTGATCAGTGTTTAAGGTAAAAACAGTAGATAGATCATGGCCATTCAAGGTGCGAGCAGTCCAACCTTGTTCAGGCGAATTGATATCCAGGAATACTTTGTTACCTAAGGCAAAAAATCATATCGATCAATTTTGGTTAAACCAATGTTATTTAGTAAATGCAAAAATATAGATTTTTAATTTAAAGAGATATAAGCGATGCATTCGCCTCAGTTGTTTTTTATAAAAAAGCTTGTTTCTGTATAAAAAATCGAGTCATTTGACTATTTTTTAAAAGAGATTTGTTGTTTTATTTTGCATATAGCTTTGTGGGAGTTGTAATGATTATGATAATATATTTAATTAGAAACTCCCAACATAATAAAAAAATATAAATTTATTAACTATAAAAATATTTTCGATATCAAAAATATACATGACATGTCCGATTATTTTTTTACAAAACAAAACCAGCCTGCTTGATATCGCCACACACTCCCTGCCCAGTGTTGATCTCACAGTTTTAAAAAAAAAAAAATACAGGGAAACACGTTATAAAAATGTGGTGGGAAAGCAGATTATAGCAGACCAGTGTTGTAATACTGGTCAATTACAAATTTCCATGTTTCGTCAGCAGATCCACCGTATGTGGTGATTTGACCTGCCATCAACTCCATATTCTGCATAATGTTCTCGATCTAATGGGTATTAGTTATATCAGAATAACTTAATGTTTAGAATGCATAATTTATGGGTACAGTTTCCATTTCTGCAAGCGTTGCATTCGTATCTGATGAGTTCCGATCAGAGAAAGAAGTTGGCTCTTTATCCAAATCAGGATCATTGGTTTCTTTGACATAAGAGTCCAGAATTGTGGAATCCAATAAATTATGTCAAATTTTGTTTTGATTCGTCGTTGTCACCGATAATGGGAGGTAGCATTATAAGACGATTTGTTGAGTTAACAGAGAAAGAGAGGTTGAATTGCATTCCAATGAAAAGTTCAGGCTCCAAATTATTTTTTCTGTCAGCAATAAACACTGAGGTCTGGGTATACCAAATGAGTAACCTCGGAAGTCTGATCCAGATAGTAAGTGCGTTAACTATGATGGATTGGACTGGACATACCTTATAGGTCGTCACTGAAGACCAGTGATTATGGTGCGTCAAAATCAATTTTTCTTAAATCTTCGAAAAATAAAACTCCTTTATCTTCATCTCCATCGTCGTGAGTCACCAATGTGGGAGTTGTAATGATTATGATAATATATTTAATTAGAAACTCCCAACATAATAAATAAATATAAATTTATTAACTATAAAAATATTTTCGATATCAAAAATATACATGACATGTCCGATTGTTTTTTTACAAAACAAAACCAGCCTGCTTGATATCGCCACAGCTTTATTCAATTATTCAATTAAAAAATAAAAGACAATATATAAAATGTATACAACATAATGGTGGATTTGTACATAAGTCTACCCCACTTAAGTTGCATAATTAATATATAATGAGATCAAATATTACAAAGTTTGAATATGAACAACCTAAATTCATTCTATACCATAATTTTTGGTTAGTGCGCTCTTGAATAGGCAGTGTTACATGCAAAATATTTGTTTTATTATATTTAAAGAAGGTAAATATAAAAGATTAATCTGGTAAGCTGGGTAATCGGACACAGACAGGTTATTGGACCAACCGGAGATTGATAACATTTTATTAATAATTCAAACAAGTCTTTAAGGACCGATTCTACCGCATAACAGAAAAATGTTAAGGACCGATGCTACTGCATAACAGAAAAATGTTATGGCAAGACCATGCTATGAAGAACTTTTCATACAGAATATTGACAGAGCCATCAGGTCAGTGTGCAGTCAGACGTATTTCTTATATTTTCACATAGAAAACCTAACCTAAAAACCGCACAAATTTCAAAAAAACGATCTTAGATAACAGGGTATTTCTGACACTGCTTCATAACATACGAGTGACGTTGCAGTTTATGTGTAAAACTGCCTCAATACACAGGAAATACATGCATAATGTATGGAAGTCGGAGCGAGAATTTTTCAATATTTTATGTTAAATTATTATATATGAGTATTTATTCTATCATCTTCCTGATGGATGTATGCCCCAAGAGTAATGCATTCATTCCTGTAGGATGGATTACTTTCAATTAACGAAGTAGTTAATAGTGGATAAAAATAATTTAGTCAATTAGTACATAGCCAGGTTATTTTTTTATCAAGGTGCCTACTACCCTCCATATTGCATTTTGTATAATTTATATCAGGAAAAATTAATATCGGTGGTGCACAATATTGACATTCATACAAAGTTGAACAATACCATAAACGTTTCCAATGTTAAAATTAAATTTAATATAATATTTTTTAAATAAATTGCTTACCTGAAATACTTGCTCCATCTTTTATACTTATTCGATTCTCTTTCCAAAATTCTGTATTACAACCGGACAGTGTTCGAGTGGTAATATCGCGTTCGATTTTTAAATCGCCTGCGAAAACCACATCTTTTTCAAAGACCACAGGACAAGTTATTTTTGATTCTCTATCAATAAAAACCAAGTCCTCAACAAAATTATTTAAATTTATTGAATTTATCGTACCCGTTCTCAAAGCATTTTCGAAAAATACATCATTCTCGAAATTTAAAGGATGTTCAATAGGTGCAGTGTTATCGGTTGTTAGAATCAATCTTGGCAGAAAATTATGCAAATTTACTCCGTTAACGTTGTCTAATAGCAAGGAATCTATGAATGTAAGATTTTGGAATACTGCATCGCCATGAATAACATGAAAAGTATCTTCATAGGAATACCGATTTTTCAATTCTTCTATGGATACACCGTTAAAATATTCGGTACATTCTGCATTATCCATGACAACATCTCCATGAATAATAAATTCAGTCTCGATACTTTGTTCGTTATTTTTAGTCAAAATATTTTCTATCCTTATATTATTAATTTTGTTTACTATAACGGAGTCAGTTACCAAATCTGAAGTGAATGTTTTAGTTGCATGTATACTTATATCATCACTAGCCGTTACGAGGTCTTTAGCAAAAGCGTTAAAATCGTATCCATTCACTAATCCTTTCACTATAACTTCAGGAGCATCAAATCCGTCCATAAAATGCAAGTTGCTGTAAACCAAATTTTCTTCATTCAACCAAATAGCATTATCAACGATATCTTTGAAGTTGTATCCATTAATATTGTCCGTTGTAATTTCTCCATCAACAATCAGCTCATAAATTTCAGAATAATCTAAATTCAATGTTTGAGTAACATTACGTCTTTTGCGTAAATAAATTTCCGGAGGAATCACGTTTATGTTCGAGCTGGTAGCATTATTCGCGTTTACAAAATCCACATGATAATCAGCTGTTATATATTGAGGTTTTGTTAGACTTAAACACTTTTCTTGAGTTGACTTCAAATTTTGTCCACATAAACTATTGCTTTCAACTAATAAATTATCCACATATAAAGTTTCTACGATCAGTTTATCAAACTCAGCATCAGAATTTATATAGACCGGTTGATCTATGGTAATAAGATCATCTACTGGTTTTTCCAGTAAATTATTTATATTAATATTTTCAAAATGTACTTTACCGTTAAATGTAATATCAGAAGATATATACTGGTCTCCTTGTAATTTTACAGTACTAATAAATAAATCTGTCAAATTTACCTGGTCAACAAAACCAGTTAAGGTTAAATCTTGAAAACTGATATCTCCATGTAAATTTTGAACTGTCAGGATTTGCTCAGTGTTTTTAGTCAATATGTCGACAGTATCTATTCCGTTGATACGATTTGATGTTAACTCGAGATTATCTCTAATATTCAATGTGTTCTCAAAATACTTATATCCGTGAATGATGGCTTCATCTTCGTAATTGTAAACGACGTCGTTTAAGATACTAGCCAAATTGGTGTCATTGATATTTTGAACATATATAGGACCCTGTACTGCAAGTTGTTTAAATATCACATTTGAATGTATTATGTTAGTATCCTTCAGAGTGGGATTTGCTGTAAAGTTGTCCAAATATTTTCCAGTGAGCGATCTACCAACCTAAGAAAATAATTATGATTAATATTATAGGTTTTGTTTTTATTATTTAGTGATTTATTATGAATATTATGAAAACTGTATGCCTTGGATCAAGATAATATAGGACTAGTGAAAGGTTTTATCTAGTTTGCTAATAATACTCAAAATCTCGAATTACTAAGAAAATCAAATTTATAAGAAGTCACCAACTAAATAGAAATAACTAATTAAAAATTATTTACTGAGATATTGATTTGATTTCATTAATACTTCATCAATACGAACTACTTGTCTACTTACATGTAATCCTTCGGTCACTTTCAAATTTTCAAAAGTGATTAAACCTTTTATATTTTGCTCTCCTTGCAAAGTGATAACATCTTCAGTATTTACACCATTTACTAAACCTGGGCAATCTAAGTTTTTAATATTTAGCTGCTTGAACACTTTTTGGCCAGTAATGAAATGAGATTCCGGATTAAATCCAGAAATGTCAATCTCAGGATTCGTCGAATTGTAGTTGTACTTGGACCTCGAACCTCTTTCAGCAAAAATACCTAGTTTTACAGAATCCATATAATTGTCTTGTGCATTCGGTACTATTACGAATGGTCTTGGAGGAATTTGGACATTGATAAAGTCATCGTTATTCTCGTTAGATTTACCAAGTAGCACAAAATCCGATGGAAAAGATAAATCGTTTATGATTGGCATATGTAAAAGGCACGGTTCTGAACAGATGATATCCTGAAAGTGAAAATTTAGTACACGCTAAACTTTGAAATTATATACTGTCTAGTATAATTGACTACAAATTAGAATATAACCGAAGAACATCTCGGAACACTTTGCTATCAATTAGAATACTATTTTACTAGATACAGATATTTTGAAATTAATAATAATATTAGATGCATAATAATGATTATTATTATACTTACTCCAATTACAACCATTTTATTGTTCAAGCTTCTTGGAGAATTTTTCCACACAACTTTGGATATAAACTTCTTCCAACTCATTCCATTAATACTCTCAATTACTGTATCACCCAAAACTCGAATTTCTTTGACATCATTAATATCTCGTTGTTGTCTAGCGTTAGTAGCATCAGAAAGTTCATTTTCATCAATGATAAAACCATTAAGTTTCCTAACTTTGAAATCAGTTAATACATCAATTGCATCTAAAGATAAGCGATTTATTTTGTGATCGGCTCTAAGTAAATTGCCAAATTTGATTTCATTGATAGTGCCGCCGCTTTTTACATACACATGATCAAACTGAATTTCATTGAAAAAATTCAAGTTTCCTTGGACTATCGTCTCGGGCGATTTATATAAAATATTAGAAACAGGGTAGTTGTTTATAAAGTCAACAAACAAGTTATCAACATACACTTTATCAAACTGAGTATTTCCATTGTATTGAATAGTTTGCTTATCGTATATTAGCCTGTGAAACAAATCATTAAATGATTCTCCATTGATGTCACCAACACACAAAGATTCCGCCTTCCATCCACCTTCAATTCTCAACTCGCCATTGATTGTTAAATTTTGTGCCAACTGAACTTTTAAATCTTTTTTCTTAACACCATCTTTCATTAGAAATGGCATGTCCAAAACAGATGCAAGAATTCTGTCCGATTCTTCAACTAAAGTAGGTATATGTATGTTTGTGTCTTCTTTCGTGAATTTGATATTAGCCATACCCAAGAATCCATCTACCCATTGCATTTCATTGTTTTCCTCTCTATATACAGGTGTTTCTATTTCCCTCACAAACCACTCAGTTTTCACCAATGCATCTCCATAGTTATTTAGAGAGTTTTCTAAGGCAGTTTTCGCTTCAATTATTATTTGTGATTGGTGTTTGAAATTATCTTCTAATGTATTTCTAATTTTGTACAGATGATTTAATTCTTCCCGCCTTGGGTCAATGGTTTGCACCAATCTTGTATTAATTTCATAAACTTCTGAATGCATTGATGATCTTGGAGTAATAATATGCAATTGTCTACCGTGATTTATTGCAACTGATCCAATGAGACCAGTTTCTGTTTCTAGGTCTAGCAAACATTGGTATCCATAACTGAAAAAAATAGAAATATAGGAACTATTTAGTAAATATAGGCTAAAAGATAATAGCTAACCATGATAAAAAATACTATAAATGTTTTTCTACCTTATATGTCCATGATCATCGCAGACCTCATGTGAATGGGTTACAAAACCATTTTCAGTCCAAATCAATGCTTCTACATGCACTGAAGAATGCGAATCGTGATCAATTTCATGTTGTACCAGAACTATTAGATCATCTCTATAGTTTTTAACGTGAATAGGTAAATAAAATTGAACGTTGTCGAAAGTAGAATCTAAAATAGCTTCAATGTGTATTCCAGAGGTGTCTACTCGGTACAGTGCATGATCCAGGCCTCCTACGCCTAAGAAACTTTTGTGGCCGACGCTAAAATGACGATAAAATAAATGTAATACTTAAAATATTATTGGTGATCTTAAAACAAAAATTGGTTGTTGGGATTTAATTTATCTTTAACTGAAGTAACATTGTCGTTGATACTATGCGCAAAGGCAAGCCCATGGTGGGATTGCACCATATTTTAGATTTAGCATATGTTACTATAAGCTTCAAGTCATGAAGTCAATTTTGGATTAATATTTTTTATGTAATATGGCTATTTATCAAACTTTAGTTTCAATCATTTTACTGAATGCCTTTAATAAATCATTTAATAAATTAATACATTTTCTTCTTTCTTACTAATACTTATAACAACTGAATGTAAGAATAGACAAAATATTGCTAATATTTGTTTATTTAACTTACCTGAAAGCGCTGACAAAATTCACTCCTGAGCTTTCTATGTTTTGATATGGCAAAAATCTCCTATCAATAAATTTATAAATGATGACAATATTGTTTTGTTCCTGTGAAATTAATTATAGTTTTATTAAAAATACTTGTTAAAGAATATGCATGTTACTTCATTTAGAATATCTATAAATTATATGACTTTTACAATTTAGGGATTCGAAACCTTCTATAATTTAATGATGAGTGAATCAGTAAGATGTCCAATATTTATTCAAAAATCGTTAAAATAGGTATTTTTAAATTAGGAATCCGTATAAAAGTTTTTCTGTGAACTCGAAAATGAAATTAGCTGCAGAATTTATGGTAAATTTTGAATCACAAAATTATATTTTTAAATATTTTAGATATTTATATAAGTTTTTGTTTTCAAGTTTGAAAACTACGAATTTTCAAATAAAATCTCAAATTTTAAAGCTTTCAAAAAATAAAATTAAACATGTATCACATTTTGATTTATTTCCTAATTTCATTCACTTTGATGCTTGTGAAAAGGGTTATCCAGATTTTTTTTAAAATGTACAATGTTATTGGCCACTTTTATATTTAATTATTTACATACCTGTGGAATAGCTAAATATATTAAATCTGCCACGAAATTAAAAGCTGCAACATTAGCTTCACATTCCAAAAATATGCGTTGTCTCAGCCAAAATTGTTTACGATCAATTGAAAATTCGTAAAGATGTGCCGTAAATTCACCGTTACCAAAATCTTCTAAAGTAAACAAATGATCCGTTTTTTGAATCTGTATAAATTTCATAAATCTTATAGCAGAATGCAATAGCCATTGCCATATCTCCACCAACTGCTCTCCAGGCGAAATTTGATACCATAAGATTTGATTATCTATGGAAACAAGTGCAACTGATTGCACGGAAGATTCAAATCTCAATCGAAATATGTCAAATGAACTGGGATTTTCTCGAATTGGTATCGAGTGCAACATTTTATACTCTATATGACCATTTGTAAGACGAGACCTTAATAAGATCAGTTCTGAGGCACTAATCCCAACTAAATAGTTTTGATGCCACAAATTGATACTTTTCCAGGAGTGAATGTCATCTCCGAAAGCAACATCGGCAATACCAGTGATATTGATTATTTCAAGTTCTGTAAAAAAAAAAATTACTTTTATAAAAACGTCAAATACATTTGAACAAAAGTTGTTAAATTAATAATGTGACTAATTGTATTATTTTAAAATTGTATTATTTGAAACTAATGGTAGAAAAAATAACCATACCTTCACGATTAGTTCGAGACACGTCGGCCTCTGGGTACGCCGCCGACTTCCATATTAACCTCTGAGCAATATCATCCAAACTTGCATGAATATCATTGCGTAATTCACTAATGTCCTGATTATCATCAATTATTCGATCTAATCTGCCATTAGAAGTATGCAGTACATAGGGCTTATCACTACTTCGTAAATTATGATTTTCCATTGAAGGATTAGATTCAGAAACGTATTGAGTTGTTAAATCCTGTGCATTTAGCTGTTCATCATTATGTTCTTTTTCAGTTGAAATCTTAGCGTTTATTGAATCATTTTCAATTGGTTTTGCAATATCACTGTCTGCTGGTTGCCCTTTAACCCCTTGCTGAGGGTTTATATGGTAATCATCTACATCTGTCATAGCTTTAATTCCAAGAATTTGATTTTTAGTGTCAAAATTATCATCGTCTTCAACCGTATTACTACGTGAATCATCAATCGGTATAATGTTTGATGCAAAACCATCAGTATTGAATGCAGAATTAAAATTTTGACTGATACCCATATCATCAGTGTAGTCGTGATCATCCAAATATACATGTGCAGTTGGTGTGCCAAGGTAAGTTTTGTTGAAACTGAAAACCTCATTGTTTCGACTAAATTCATTATCTTTATCAGAACTTGTTGACAAATTAGTTATATGTTTATTAGCCTTCGAAGATTTGACGTCACCGACTATGATGTTCGAACTATTTTGCAACAGCTGATCAATTTCCGATTCGTATTGAGCAGTGCTTTTATTTCCTCGGTTTTCATAAAAGTCATCAACGGTGACGTTATTTACAGATAAAAAGGCTTGGGCTTTACTTTCGATGCCAGTCTCTAAATTGGAATCGTTCTCCTTGATTAACGTTGGTGCTTCAGAAATGTCTTTTGCAATCACTTCAGAAGTATTCGAATTTTCTCCAGTTCTTTCAGATATCACAGGGACACCACCAAAGTTATTGGCTTTAAAATTCTTATCGTTTTTATTTAAATTTATATTTTGAGACATGTCATCATTATTCTTTGCATTGCTGACCACATATTTTGATTCTTTAAAAATATCTTTATCTTCAGCCACTTCAAGCAATGGTTTTAATTCCGCATCAGAATTTTCAAATGGTGATATGGATTGCATTGCTTTATATCGGTAATATCGATCCAAATCTGTTGTTTCTGGAATAACATCTTTCAATGAAACAGGGTTTATATAACTCTCTTTTGGTTTATCACTAAAACCTGGCTCATTGTTAACACCAATTGTATTTACATCATCATTTTGAACGGAGGTCTAAAAATATAAAAACATGTAAAATATGCGAAATTATAATAAGTTATTTATAAACTGTATAATATTATTTAGTTTATCATTAAAATATTACATCATGGAGAACAGCATATTTTTTTAATAAACAAATTGTCTATTTGTAATAGAAAAAACCATAGTCATAAGATAAAGTCAATGTAAGAAGTATAGTTTCAGAAACATTCAGTAGTTTATGAATACAAAAAATTATACGATATGGTGACTAATGTTAATATGCGATGAAATAATATTTAAGCCTTCTATAATGGTTTTTAGCATTGCATTCTAAAAAAATAAAATTTAACCGATTTAGCCGATAACCGAAACTATATATAGCACTGCTACAATTCGCAATTACAAGCACGATAACGAATGTGGACTAGAACCAGGTCAGGTGAATGAAATAACAATCTAGGTGCGAGTGGCATTTTGCCTTAAAGCCAAAAAATATGCGCTTCTAATGAATTTGTAGTAAACGTGCTTCAAAAAGTTTCACTTCAATAAAATCTACATTATGTTTTGTATTGCTTGTGGGGTATCAGTTAGAAGGTCTCGACGAGTAGAAAACGGTTTTCACGAAAAAGACAATATTGTAATAAAAATGTAGTATTTAATTGCAGAAACATATTAAAATGCTAAAATTTATTGTTTTTTTTTCAAATATATGAGGTAAAACTTTTGTTAAATTAAAATTAACTATGATTGTCCACAAAATTTACTATTTTTACAAATTTGTAGAAGAGTAGTCTAAAGAAGAATAATAATAGTAAAATCATAAATAAACGCAAATATAGTGCGTTTACATTTTGTTTGAATAATGCAATAATTTTATAATGATAATATAACAAAAACGTGTACTTTCTTTAACTTCATTTGTATCATAAAATTGAAATAATAATAATAAATGTAGTATTACAATATATAAATAATATAAGATAAACAACGGTAATAAATAATTATATGAAAATAATACTTATACACATTAATGGCCAAATGATGTAAATCGAAAGCCAAACATCAAATAAAAAAATCACATTTAAATAAACACAAAAGTAAATTTCACATAAAAGTACATTTATTAAACTTGATATTTATATCATCTTATAATATCGATGATATTCACATTGTATTATTTTAAATATACAAAACCTTTTTGATTTAAGGATGTGCACTATGGTAAAATAGTGAGAATAATTATTATTGAAATATTGCAAATTATGCTGACTACTCGTGGATAGAAACAAAATTTCACATTTTTCTTAAAAACTACTTAACATTAAAGGTCAAATATATGTACAACTGATTGTAAAAAAAATATTATATCAATTTTATATTGACAAGGTACTATTTAAACATCACTAAATTCAACTTATATAAATTATATACGCTTTGTGAATTTTTTGATAATTTGTATGATTTGACGGAAACATTGCTGGATAGTATTATTTAATATAGGGGTCCGTCAGATAACTTTTTTTTTTTTGAAAATGCTATACATAAACTACTGAATATTTTTTCAA